CGTGTAAATACTAACGCGGTTCGTACTATCGAAGAAATGGTCTTTATTGCAGAAATATAATTTCTCGTCGGTTCTTGAACAATTAATCTACAACGAATTCAATGCCTCGTTGAAAAGAGGTGTTCGTTGCAGAGCTGGAATTAAACCCAGGTTTTTTCGACAGTTCCTGGGAGAAATGGTTTTAACAATAAGTTAATGACAGATTTTTTTAAAGTCGAATCACGAAATTATAATTAAATAATATACTTTGAATAAAGAATTATTTCTTCTTTTATTAAATCTTCTTCTGTTATTATTATTCTTAATATTAATATCGGTTTAAAATTTTTTTATCGCTTTGGAAAAGATTTATTGTTAGTAGTAAAGCATTGAGCATGGATATAGCTATTATATAGAGATAAATATTAATTTACCAAATAGATAAATTTAAATTGTAATATATTTGTTCATCTCTGAACTTTTTTTAACAAAATATATGGTTACGAACGAATATGTTTAATTAGTTGATTTTTAATTAACTTTACTTTTGATCTCTTTTGAGAGATCATTTCTAGGTTGGACAGGTGCCATTTTAAGCTACTAATATTAATTTTTAAGTATTCGCTTGATATTTTATATAGAAAATTTATTAGATATTTTACATGCAGAAAATATATGCGCAAAATGTGACACATTTGATAAAACTTTTCTTTTGTTAATATTATATCAATAATATTATATTAATACACACAAATATACATGAAATGTACAAGTACTAAAAAATTCGAGTCGAATGGGTACCCTGATATCAGTAAGATATCGACATATTAAAATATTATTAAATATATTATAGAAGAATTAATAATTTTTTATTTTACGTCGCGAAATATTTAAATACAAAATTTTTCAAAATCTTGCTGTTATTGGGTTCGACTCGTCTCGAACAGTTGATACCCGAAAATTATTGTACTCGTACATTTAACAAGCGATAAATGCGCGTATGTTTCATGATTCTTAAACATACTCGTTTGTAACCATGCACAGTTCCATACAAATAATTATATTATAATAGTTTTATTATTTATTAATAAACAGACATTTCTAAATAATGGAAGAACATTTTTTCGCGTAAATTTCGATCTTGTGAATGAAAGATGATGATGATAATTGTCATTGATTCATTGAAATGTTAAAATCATTGCTATTGGAAATGGTCTGGAAGATCTGAGATTCGTTCCATTTTGCAGCGAAACTCTTGACATTTAATGTCGTTAACGAGTCGTTTAATTTTCCTTCGTGGATTAATCTCGATAGAATTCTACGTAAAACATACGTTAAAAAAAAGTAGCGCTCTACATTTAATATTGTTCTTCTACCAGTCGGATATTAACTGACGATCGGGCGAAATTATTTTAATCTTTTGAATTGTTATCATTAGATTATCCGCGAGATATTTTCATCTTATATTTAATTGCAATTATTATTTTTTTACTTGATCGTTGGCTTATACAAAATTTCGCTTATTTTTTCACGTGTCAAACTTCCTTAAAAAATTAAAATGTATCAATATAAATACTTTTCTTTTTGTAATTAAAAGATATAATTGATGATAAAATATAATAATTAATGAAGAAATATAATAGATAATATAAATGTATTGACGATTTTTTCATCGCTTATTCATATTGCTTATTCATATTACGCAATCCTTAATAAGTTTTGTAATGAAAAAAGTCGAATTAATAAATATCACGAATAATTTGAATCGTCTGTTTGAAAATCATTTGATTTAATTTTGAATGAATGTTGTGTAATTTTGTATCATAAGATATTTTGTACTACTAATTTATAAATATTATAATTATATTTATTAATTATATATTGTAATTATATTATATAAATATTATAAATTCTTATCATAAATATTGTATATGTTGTAAATATTATTATATATTGTAATAATATTTTATAAACTATTTATGTTATACTTTATAGTTCAATTATTGTATATATATTTTATATTGAATATGAATTATATATTAATTGTATTAAATACACACAATAGCGTATATTATATATATTTTCAATACTTTATAAGTAAAATAATTTTGTAATGTAATAATTTTATAAAATAATATGTAATAATTTATATAATAATTTTATAAAATTATTTTATAAAATGAGATATTTTGTATTAATTTAATACAAATATTACAATTAATAATATTATAATTATATTAATATATTATAATTATATGTAATTATATTATATAAGTATATTATATTTTATAAAATATGTATGTTACTTTCTACAATTCAATATTATTATTGTATATTATATATTGTATATTTCCCTTTATTTTATAAAATAATATTATATTTATTATATTTAAATAAAATAATTATAATAAAAATTTTACCTCTTCGATGGTATCTCCACCTTAACGAAGGCATTTGCCGGGTGAGAAGGTTTGAGTACTCTAATGATCCGGAGAGCTATGTCGGCGGTAATGCATTTAGATAGTAAAAATAATCATTTTTATGTCATTTTGCCAGTCAAATCGCGTCAAAATGAGATCAAAATGACTATTTTTGCTATCTAAATAGTTACCGGTAAGGTCATCTATGCCGGACAGGTCGAAGGGGAAGAGTGAGACTAAGAGAGATACTGTAGTTATTTATACTGTAATTATTTAGTAATATTTTTAATAAAAGCTATATATATGTATATATGTATATATATACTTTTTTAAATATAATATCTCTTAGCAAATTAGACTAAAAAAAGAAGTGATATAATTCTCAAAAATTTACCTTTTTAAAAAAAGATAAAAAAGGGCGCCAAGTTCATGCACTAATTGTATTCAACTTTCATATTGTCTACAAAAGTAGTGATATAAAAAAATTGCGCCAACTAAGAATAAAAATTTGTACAAGATAAATAGAAGTACAAGGAAGAAAACTTGTACAAATAGAAATATTTTAATTGAAAACATTGTTATACAAAATAGTTGTTTTAATTTTCAAAAGTAATAATATTAAAAAATTAAAAATTTGTTTAAAAATTGAAAACTGAAATTTAATATAAAACAAGAAAGTAAAAAAAATTTTAATTAAAAAAACTTGGCGCTGCCAATAAAATTGGCATATATTCCAATTAAATATATATTTAACAGCAAATATAATTGCTGGACATTTATTATTAATTCTCTTAAGATCTTCTGGATCTTCAATTAATAATTTAATTTTTATAATTCTTATATTATTTTCACAAATTATACTTTTTACTTTAGAAATTTCTATGAGATTTATTCAAGCTTATGTTTTTTTCTATTTTATCAACTTTAGTATGGAAATCTAAAAGATAATTAGAACATATTCCAATTATTATCTAACATTTAAATTTAATGACCTAATTTCTTTAATTAATTTATATTGATTTACATTTGGAAATTTAGACTTTTAAGCTGAACAATATATTAATAAAATTGGCAGCGCCAAGTTTTTTTAATTAAAATTTTTTTATTTTATATGTTTTCTATAAACTTCCAAGAGTCATGTATCCAGAATGATTTCGAAAGAATATTTTATATGCAATATTGCTACATGATTGCAGTAACGTTACATTTTTTCAAATATATTACATTGCAATATTGCTGCGACATTTCGTTGTAATATTACAAAAAGCGGACATCTTAACGTTGCCGCAACTTTACAGTAATGTTGCAGCAAAGTTTCGCAACCGATTTGCAATATTGCAATGTTTCAATGAAATTATTCTGCAATATGTTTGCAATCTTTCTGTGCTGTATGGATTCGAACATTATTGTTTTCGGGATTATAATTTATAGATTATGTATTTATATTATATATATATATATATATATATATATATATATTTATTTATTTATTGCTTTCAAAAAGATCAAATATAATATGGAAGTTTCGATTTTTATTTTATGGATATTTAAAGTCTTAAATTATTAAAAATACAGAGAAAAGAGAGAGAAAGGTCGAGGAGAGAGATGACAAATTTTATTTATATTGGAAATTTATTTATATACAAATACATAAGCTTGCTGGGTTCCCAGGTAGAACATGAAACTCGTAATAACATCATTATGACGTCCTAAAAGTCACCTAAAAATCACCTGAAAGTCACCTAAAAGTCATTTTAGAAAAATAATGATATCATAATGATCTCATGTGATATACTTTTGGCAATGTTTGGGTGACTTATTTTTGATATTAAACAATTCTAGCGAACTCTGTTGGAAAATATATATATATATATATATATATATATATATATATATATATATATACTTCATCGCGTATGAAATCTTAAGAATCAATCATAATAATATCATTTTGTGTATATATTACGCAATTACTTGTTTATTTAATTATTCATGTATATTTTAATTATATTCCCTAACAACACACATGTCCAAAAGATGTCCAGAGGTCATCGAGAGGGCATAAAATATCCTTTGGCTATCCTCTAGATATTCTATGGACATCTTTTGGACATGTGTGTTGTTAAGGTTTAAGTAACATAATCTTTTTAAAATTATATAATGCGATTATTAAACTTAAAAATTTATGATTCATCTTTTTGTCATCTTTAACTCATTTTTTAATCATTTTAGATAACTTTTAAGTGATAAATAAAATCATGATGACGTCATAATGATGTCACAGGCCGGTATTCATAGTCCGATCTTATATTTAAGATTGTCTTAAGTCTGGTCCGAGGTTGACTTAAGACCTCATTCAACCAATCAAATAGCTGCGTAGCATTTCAAGCACGAACTTAAGACGATCTCAAATATAAGATCGGACTATGAATACCTGCCTATGAGTTTCATGTTCTACCTCCTGGGTTGTAAAAAAGAATCCGGTATCATCGCAGGAGATAATTGCAGTGAGTTGACGTTATCGATCTATATCACTTTTTTTCTCTCATTTTCCGCTAGTGGCGCTGTGGTATATCGCACTAGTCCACTTGTCAATCTATCAGATTCTTATTCCGTGGTTTCTCGTTGGCAATATCGGACGAAAAGTGGGTGTTGCTTCCGTCTCCCGTCACGTCTCGTTCGTTAACTCGTAATTGCTCGGGGTGTCATATTACGAAGACGATTACGAAGAATCGTGAACGAAACTCTCGCAGACTAAATCATCCTCCAGGAATCATGTGTAAGTCAAACTCCAGATCTTCCTCGACGCCGGGTGTCTCGTGGGGTGTCCCTCATCGAGGGCGAAGAGCCACATCCGATCAATAATATTAACCGTTCGCGAGACACACCGGACGGATGGACAGCGCCGAGTGTCATTTAAGAAACCGGACGTTTATCTGTCACTCGCGTACTTGCATTTCGCGGAATACGAGTCGACGAATATCGCGAAGCCCGCATCTTCTCACCTCTAATTAATGACCTTTCGTTGAACGATGTACGAGACTTTTGTACGATTTTTCAGGCATTTTTTTCAGTGAAGGAATATCAGATTATTATATTTTTATTGTACTCCAATTCTGATATCGAAGGTACATTTTGGAGCATTTCGCGAATTTTTGGAGTATTGTTAAAAATTTTCTCTTGAAACGTTATAAATCACTGAAATATATACATACTGGAAGAGGCACTGAGCTGCAGAAAGCGTGCCGAGAGAGAGGGAAGATTTAGGGGTTACCTGTCTTTGTTGTACAGTCAGGTCCAAGAGTGTTTGTATCATAAGGAATCCAAACATTTCGACAATTTTTTACACAGCAATGTTTCACCATTTTTCTTTTATATTATTGAAACACAAAATCTATTTCAAACATCAAGAATTTGACATTAATGTCTTTTTTCGAATTGATTAAAATAAAATGTTTCAGAACATGCCACATTGCCACCGTTACCTCAATAAGCCAAGCAAAAAACTAAACTTTCGATTTCGCCTGTACATCATGTGACTTGTTTCGTTGCGCAGACGCAGCGCCGGAAAAAACGAGATAGCAATCCCCAAACATCTATCTATCGCAGGCACGCTTTCCGTCTACGGCAAACAAAGCCAGTGCCTCTTCCAGTATAGATATATTTCAGTGTTATAAATTTGTTGGCTGGTCGATTTTTAGAAATTAAGTTGAATTATAGAAAAAATTTAATTATCTGAACATTATACAGGGTGTATCTGAAAAAGCAAAACCATTTTTTTTTTCAAAGATTCATTAAATAATTAATCAGATTTAAGTATCAAAAAGATTTCTGAGAAGATGAATTGTTTAAAAATTAACACAAAACAGTTTATTTTTTTGCTTATCCAAATCTTCATGTGTTGATAACGAATAAGTTTGTCTTTTTATTGGCGCGACTATATTTATTAATTACTGCTTTATTAAGCATTATGGAAAAAAATGGTTCAGGACTTCTCGACTCGGTTTTTAATCAGGAATAACGCTATTTGCTTAGTGGGAGCTTTTTAAGATACACCCTGTATGAAGGAATTTAAAGTTACTTAAAAGTATATTTCTTATTATCACTCATAATATTTTGATTTTTTTTGCAGATTGATTTTGACTCTATAGGCTAACACTAGCCTTTGTTCAAAATGATAGGAGGTTTATTTGTTTACAATCATAAGGGGGAGGTACTGATCTCCCGAGTGTATCGGGATGACATTGGCCGAAATGCAGTGGATGCATTTCGTGTGAATGTAATTCATGCACGACAGCAAGTACGCTCGCCAGTAACCAACATTGCTAGAACATCATTTTTTCATATAAAGCGTGCTAATATTTGGTTAGCTGCTGTCACCAAACAAAATGTTAACGCAGCTATGGTATTTGAATTGCTGTTGAAGATCATAGATGTTATGCAGTCGTATTTTGGCAAGATATCAGAAGAGAATATCAAGAACAATTTTGTGCTTATTTACGAGCTGCTCGATGGTTAGTATAAAATTTAATAGACACATTGTATGAATAATTGTACATGACTTTTGTCCTAATTTTCATTATTTCTTTGCAGAGATACTCGACTTTGGATATCCACAGAATTGTGATACAGGAGTATTGAAAACATTTATCACTCAGCAGGGAGTAAAATCGGCCACCAAGGAGGAACAGGCTCAAATAACATCGCAAGTCACTGGTCAAATTGGATGGAGACGAGAGGGCATTAAGTACAGGCGCAATGAACTCTTCCTAGATGTGCTTGAATATGTGAATTTATTGATGAGTCCTCAAGGCCAGGTTCTTAGCGCACACGTTGCTGGAAAGGTAAATTATTCATATTGAAAAGTTTCATTATTTCTTATAACATATAATTGCAGATTTCTGATTAAAAATTTTCTCTCAGGTTGTAATGAAATCCTACTTGTCTGGTATGCCGGAATGCAAATTTGGAATTAACGATAAGATCGTCATGGAATCTAAGGGCATGAAAGGAGGCAGCGGACTTGGCGGTGGTGGCGATGATCCAACAGGCGCCAGATCCGGCAAACCGGTTGTCGTTATTGACGACTGCCAATTCCATCAGTGCGTTAAACTTAGCAAATTTGAGACCGAACATTCCATTAGTTTTATACCACCGGATGGTGAATTTGAATTGATGAGGTGAGACACAATCAGAAGATAATATCATAAATCAAACGTTTCTGTGAAATAAAAATATTATCTTTTCTTGTCTTTTGTTACAGATATCGTACCACGAAAGATATATCATTACCTTTCCGTGTAATACCATTAGTGCGCGAAGTAGGTCGAACGAAGATGGAGGTCAAGGCGGTTCTAAAATCAAACTTCAAGCCATCATTGCTGGGACAGAAAATAGAAGTACGCGTGCCAACGCCATTGAATACTGCCGGTGTGCAGTTGATATGTTTAAAAGGTAAGGCAAAGTACAAGGCATCGGAGAATGCAATCGTATGGAAGATCAAGCGTATGGCTGGCATGAAGGAGACGCAATTGTCCGCTGAAATCGATCTGCTAGAGACGGACACGAAGAAGAAATGGACGAGACCGCCGATATCGATGAACTTTGAGGTTCCGTTCGCGCCATCCGGTTTTAAAGTGCGCTACTTGAAAGTATTTGAGTCCAAATTGAATTACTCTGATCATGATGTGATCAAATGGGTTCGCTACATAGGACGCAGCGGCTTATACGAGACACGATGTTAATAGCTGAACAATGTCAAGGCATAAATAATTGTAAAGAAGTAATTTCAATGCAGAAATTGCGACTGAGTATCGATATCGGATACTTCTCGATATTATTTCATTATAGTACATATTTGAAGCGAAATAATCTGAAAATGTTGGAATGTTTAATTACGAATTATACATGGCACATAGCGAAACTGTGAACAATATATATATATATATCGAAAGGAGAATTCCATTATATTACAATTTAAAATCGCAAGAAAGTTTTTTATACATTATACATATTAATAAGAAATTTTCTTTAAATCATCTTTATTTGACTATATTAATGGGTTAGAAGAAAATACATTTTCAAATGCAAAATAAAAATAAAATTCTGTAAATGTTGGAAATATTAAACACACAATCATTAATGTCAAATACATTATTTTGTTTGTGCCAAGTTTTCATATTATTCATTTTTTTCGCATTAATTACTTTTACAACTTGGGCACTATATCGCGCCATATAAATTAGATTTTATAAATTGTAATGAAACTTTTTAATGCAAAATTTGTTGCTGAAAATAATAATTAAATATGATCATGAACTTATACATTTTGTTAAATCATTCTCTAGTGATTCTCTTTTATCTGTTTTTGCTTCATGTTTACGTCAAAGCAGTAATAAGAGAATGGTAAATATGTTATTCTTAAATATATATAATAAAAAAAATTAGAATTAGTACACCTATTATAATGATCTACAGACTTCTCGAAATAAACATATTTGTAGGATATAATGTTATATATAATGAGATTATGTTATATATAATGAAATGTTACATATAAAGAATTTTTTTTTAATGGCTAATGAATTTTTGTATTATATATATATATATATGAATTTATTACTCATTTCTTATATGATTAATGATATATATTATATATAGAGTTACGAAATCATTAAGATACCAGAGATTGAGCGAATTTAAATATGTCTCTGCCGCAAATCACTTATATAAATTACGATGCGTTTAATGAAATGTACGATACTGATAATCTGTTGTCTGTGCATGAGAATAGAAAAAAGCATTAATCGATTGTATCAAAGTAATTGACTGTCTCTCTAAAAGAATGTTTACATGCGTAAATATATGTGTAAAATAAATGATTGCCCATGCTTAAATTTAATTATACTGCTTTCCTTGAAATTACGGTCCAATATCATAATAAATAAAATTAGTTCGAGAAAAAATTTGCAAATATAATAAAGTAATAAATATAATTTAATTTGTATGCGAAATTTTGTTTTTATTAATCAGAAACTTATAAAATTACATAAGCTGTACTTGAATGGTATAAAAACAAATGCATTTAGAGATAAAAAGGCGATATAAGCATTAAATATAAAAGACTTGTTTCTTTCAATCAATACGATATTTTAGATTCGGGAAATAATTTCCAAGATGTAATATTAAAGATACGAAATGATTCAAGTTTTGAAAAAAGGATTAAAAAATGTTAAAAAGATCACATTTTTTTAAATTTAGCGGTTATCGATATGCACTTATCACTATTATCGAAACATATCGATATGCGTGCAAGTTTCTTGCTCGAGAACACTTCAAGTTAGGGCTTAAAGAAGTTGGAAAAGTTGCTTTTATAATTAATAATATATCAAAATTCACTAAATGTGCGTTGAAAAAAATTGCTCTACTCTTTCACGGTATGCTTTCTATATTTTTGCTTCTATATCTATTAATATACTCGAATATAATCTTGGATCTGAATCAAATCGCGATATTGATTCAACGTAACAGCGACATCTTTTCTCGACGATACACGATATTCGTATCTCGTAATGACATTTCTTTCAATATAATTATTAACTAATATAATATAATAATAATATAATATAATATAATATAATATAATTATTAACAATATAATTATTTGTATAATATTTATATAATATTTGTATAATATTATTTGTATATATTATTTGTATAATATTTATTATTATTATTTGTATGTATTTTATTATTTGTATAATATTTGTGTAATATTATTTGTATAATATTATTTGTACAATATTTATATAATATTTGTATAATATTATTTGTATAATTATTAACAATATAATTATTAACTTTCCGCATAAGATCGACCACAATCAGCCTCAATCGAGTTGAATACAATAGTATCGCTCGTCACTTGTTAGACCGACCAATCGCGGTCGTTCCATTTCCTAGAGGCGCGGCCGCGATTGGCCAGTTTTCGGACGTTCAATCCGACGAAGGGCGCGATCGTGGCCAGCGTCACGTGCGCTCGTCGCCGAGGAATTTCCGCAGTTGTCAAATCCGCGCGTAATCGACGTCGACGTCCGCGCTCTCGCTTCCCGCCGCGAGGAAGGCGCGGAAGGTGAAGGTTCCCGCGGGCGGGAAATCGGGCTTCGAATTTCCGTCCGCGAGGTTTCCCGTCTATCGCGCCGAGCGGGCGCGTTGGCGACGACACACAGCGCGATGACTTTTCCCGGCGCGGCGCATGCGGTCCACGCTCTCACGCCTGGCACCGCTCCGTGCAACGCACGTACCTCGCTCCTCCGCGTACCTGTCATGGATTCCGAGGATCGACCGCGGCCGCCGCGGGCACGCGTGATCGCGCGACTCCCTGCGTGAGCGGTGTCACACGCGTCGCACGCACGACACGTCGCGGAGGACTTTGACGTGCGCGCGTAGAGACGGAGGAGCTCGCCGTCGTCGATCATGAGCGTCGCGGTGTCGTCGCGACGAGGAGGGTGCCGTCGCCGCTGGTGAACGACGAGAGGAGGAGAGCGCGCCGACGCGCACCGGGAGGCCGAAAAATGATCGCCCTCGACGACGGGCAACCTCTTGTCATTCGGAGCACGGACCTCGTGAGTACCCTCCTCGCCATCACTCGCCTCTCTCCTTCTACGCGTCTTGAATATTTCCGCGATAAATACACCTAGCACGAAAAATACTTATACAATCATCATTCGTTGACGTTTAAAACAAAAAAGAACAAAATTTATTTTGCATTATTATATTTATATATATATATATATATATATATATATATATATATATATATATGCATATAATAATAGATGCAAAATAAATTTATATATATATATATATATTTTAATTTTTATTTAATTTTAATTTTAATTTTAATTTTTTTAAATTTAAATTTAAATTTAAATTTTAATTTATATATATATGTCTCTTTCTATGTGTGTGTATACATGTATATATATGTACATAAGTAGGGACGTGTGCTAAAATACAGAAGACGCGACGTGTATGTTGCATCGTGGACATGATCGCAGCCATCATCGCGAATTCGCGCGGTGGATCCTCGCGAGCGGGTTTATGGGTGCCGCTATTTTTAGCGCGCACACCCGTAAAACACCGAAAGGGAGGAATCTCCGCACGTGCCGCTTTGGACATCCGAGCGTTATTCCGAGATTATTCGGATAACGATCCGCGACGGATAACGTTCTTCCTCCTCGCTTCCCCCGGAAGTGCCCATGAGAATCATCGCTTGAAACGCGAAAATTCGCGGCGTGATTTATTCGATTTCGATCGATCCGAGAGAGCCAATCAAGTTTGATTAATCGATCTTTTATCGCGACACTTTCAGCTCTCATCTCCCGCGAAATGTATTAAAATAGATTTTTAAATAGAAATTAAATAAATAATATAGATAAATAAAATAGATATAAATAAATAAAATGGAACTAAATAAATAAAATAGAAATTAATTAAATAAATTAGATTTATCAATAGAAATTAAGGATGTTTCGTACGTACTTTTAAAATATTGAGAATTTCATAAAAATTGTATAGAATGTCTTTACATATGTTTATAGGATCTTCAATTTTTAAATCGATTCATTAAAGTGTTCACAAGTTAAGGATTTTAATTTGCACCGAATTAACATATGTTCTTATGGGAAACGTATGACCACGTCGATTCAAATGACAAAAACACATGGAAATAATATTCAGAATTTGTTTCAAATTTGCAAAAGTTTAGATACAGAGGAAATATTTGGTCGAATAATATTATACAAATACTAACTAATTAAAAAGATATTAAATATAATTCAGTGAAATTAGCCATGTATCTGACACAAGGCGAAATTCTCTGCCAAAAGTTAATCATTTCGATTAACAAAATTCGGAATATTTCAGTAAAAACGCAATAAATATTAAAAAATACATCTCTGCACTGTAACTAAGCTCAAATTGTAATATTCCACGCAATTTCTCATACTCAAAATACACCAAAAGTGGATATATTCGTCAATATTGATTTTTAGCGTCTTTGCTGGGAGTGTACATACAAAGCATCCTTAAAATAGATTTATAAATAGAAATTAAAATAGATTTATTTCGAATTAAAAGAATAAAAAGATGTAAAAATTTGCGGGGCCATCGCTCTTTTGTGAGCAGATTAAATGTCTTTCTATTTTTAAAGATCAGTTTTGTACCAAGACTTTTAATGACACTCGTTTCGATTAGAATTGGAAATACTTGTAATATATTGTGCTCAGTTTGCTGTGCCATTGATGTCTGCTAAAATATTATGGCGATATTTCGCCAAAGTTTACACGTGGGATTTTATTTATCGAGGATGAGCACGTTGACTTTTATGAAAGAAAATTTCCAGTGGAAAAACTGGAGTCACGTCTTAGCTTTAAAAAAGCTTTATATGTAAGCTCGAAATCTTATCGCCAGTCTAATTTCAGTGAATTTAGTTTGCAAGGCCGCACAGATAATGAAAATAGATAAGGAAAATAAGCATTATATAGATTCTATCGCGTTTTTATTGTCCCAGAGATGAATCTGGAGCGGGAAAATAAATAAAGCTAAATAAAATTATAATTTTCTTTTATCACAACGCATGATATATTTTCTTAAAAAATATTTTATAATTATTTTAAATTATATCACATTTTTAGAGATTAAAAAAAATTTTTTTCTATTAACATGTTTCATTTTCAATCATGCTGGATAGATTATTATGCTCTCTGAATTTTCATAGCTCTTGATCATAAGATAGAAATTAATTTTGCGTTTCTAACTTTGAAACTTAAATTTAATTTTCTAAAATTTAATCTTCCTTTACTCTCTAATAATTTCCGTGTTTGGCAACTTGACGAAGATTAATTTCTTTAATCTAAGAGAAATCTGCCGTTTTCCTCTTCATAATGCAAACGTCACAAATGTTAACGCA